GGTCGCTCCGGCGGTGGGCAGCGCGGGGGTTGGGACGTTGGTGTGGCGTCGGCCTCGCCCGGTGGCCCCGGCAGCTGGAGAGCCTTTGGAGAGGCAGAAGTGGAGAAGATAAAGCTGCTTAGATTTGAGTAACTTGGAGGAAGCCAGGCCGGGAGTGGGAAACGTGTAAAAAATGGATTTTGTATCGTTGTTGCTGGCTTGGAGGGAAGTATAAGGAGCTGAGCTTGAAATAATTTAGGGTGTGACCGGGGAAGGTAGTGGAAGTGATTCAAAGGGCAGTTGGTCACCACCCGCCCAGCCAGTTCCCAGCAGCTGCCCCCACCAGCTTTGCCCCTAATTGATATACTGAGCGTGATGTCCTGTGGCATGGAATATCCCTTTGGCCAGTTGGGGTCAACTGCCCTGGCCGTGCTCCCTCCCAGCTTCTTGTGTCCTCCGGCCTCCTCGGTGGTGGGGTTGTGTCAGGAGCTGAAAAGTCCTTGAGTTAGTAGTGTAAACACTGCTTAGCAACAACTAAAACATCAGTGTGTTACCAACATTATTCTCATCCTAGATCCGAAACATGGCACTATACCAGCTGCTGTGAAGAAAATTAACTCTATCCCAGCATAAACCAAGACAACAGGGAAATATTTAAACTGGATTATGCCCTTCTGTACAAAGGAGATAGAGCATGCTAAAGAAATATAGTGAGGAGACAGAGCAGTTGCAGGTTGCTAAAGGAAAATTTAGGCTGTAGGTAGCATCTCAAATGGATACACAGTTTTGGAGTTTCATGGAGAGTGTACCCTTAACAGCATAAAATCTAAAGAAATTAGAAGGCATTGCCTGCATAAAGAAATCTGTTTGGGGCATAGTTGGTTCAGGAATGGGTGAAATATGGGTCCAAATATCTGAAAGATAACCGAGCAGGAAAATTTTAGCAAACAGTTTTAAATAGAGAGCACAAAACAAACTGTTATTCTTGATGCTAGTGGCATAAGTTTCAGACTTCGGTAGAAAACAGATTTGTCAGCAAGCAGGCACTGTTCAAAGAATATTTTAGAAGTGTTGCTTACAGAAGATAACTTTAGCACAGCTGCTTGTATGTTTATTCAGTGTAAATTACAGGAAAGATTTTCAAAAGTTGGAATGTAGAACATGGCTTTTAAATATAAAAGCAGCAAAACTGTAGTTGGGATAAACGTGGACAGAAAGGCATTCATGGATCTTACTCATTTGTTGAAGTGATGGTTGGATGTCATGCCCGTGAGAGCAGAGGACTGGGTGTTGTGATCAGAAAGCCCTTTCAGGTCCAGCATTTCTAATTAAGACAATTTCAGCTGTGAGCTTCTATTTGTGTGTCTGTGATTAAAAACTTTGAAGCTTCTAAAAACTGAGATAGAACCAGGAGGGAAGAGAGCAAAGTTAATAAATGGAGTCTCTTTAACTGGAGTTTTTTCTTTAAAAAAAATAACTGAACAAAAAAAGACCCACAAGGGTTCCTGTGTATGCTTTCAGGAATTAGGTAAAATACTGGAATTTTTTGTTTGTTTTTGTTTTGTTCCTATAATTGCTTTTTTCTTCTGTTTTCTTTTAAAGACTTTTTTCTCCTTCCCTCTACTTTGTGAAAGACTGTCTCCACACACGTAAGGGTAGCTTAGTGCTTTGTGCTTTTCATTCTCCAGCGTGTGTAAGCAAACTGAAAGTACTATTACCATGGTAATAAGGAAAAGTATGGCTAATATATCATAATTGGTTTAAAAGTGATTTGACTAAAAGCTGTTGATCTCTGATGTGGATCCTCAGGCAAAATACAGCAGAAGATAAAATAGTTTATCCCAGTTGCCACCTTGAGGTGCACTTCTATCCCATTTTTTTGGATGTGCCTCTGGACGTGCGGGTCTTTGACACAGATAGAGACACTTCATAAATAGACATGTGGCGCTCAGAATAATCCACTGTGTGCAAAATAAAAACATACCTCAGGATGTCGTGTCAATTTATTAACTTTAAGGAATAAATGCACAGTATAAGTCAGTAAATATTAGTTATTTCTGAGGCCTGTCTGTGATGGGCAGCTATAAATAGAAAATGCTAGATCTGCAGGATGTTAAATGGTAACACCACTGCTAATAGTGTTGACTGGTTTAAAAAGGAGCTCATTGCCAATTTGGGGTTATTTTTGGAGGTGGAGGTGTTGTTTGGGTTGTTTGTTTGTTTTTTTCTAAATCTTACCAGGCTTGTGAAAGATCTTTTAGGAAGTTTTTTGTCACCTGAAATACTCTCTTGATTCTCTGACTGCAGGTCCTGTCTGGCTGTGGTGTCTATGATGGCACAGAAATCCACGAGGCCTCAGCGTAAGTTGCTTTATGAAACTTCACGGTGCCAGAAAGTCTCCTTTACATCACAGCAGTCTGTTGGATTCAGTTTTGCTCTGGCCATCAAAAATGCCATGAAAGACACATGATGAAGCTTCACAGTTCTCTCACAGCATAACTGGGAGCTCAGGCTGTGTTCCTGCAGTACTCAGTGACTGTCCCAAGAGGCAGCACTTCCCACAGGGACAGCACACGCGGTGCCAGAGCAGTTAGTTTGAGAGAGACTGTCTTTCCTTCAGAAACAAATTCAGAGTTCCAGAATGAGTCTCAGGACAGTTAAGTAAAGACTTCATTTCATAATCAACTTGGAGATTCTGTTCCTGGGGCTAAATCCAGCACTAGAGTTGTTAATACTCAATTTGAAGTAGTAACTCTTGGTGTTAATTGCCAAGATATGTTTCATGTAGACCTGGATTTATTGTACATGTAGGTATGTTAATTGTGGGACTCTTCCATAACACCTGGGGACATGCAATGAGAAAGGAAGTTTTTATTGTCCCTGGTTACTTATATAAGAGCACTGAACAAAGAAATTTGTCTCTAGCTTACCTGATGCTGCCTCCATACTGACTTACTTTCTGCTTTGCACTTTGGTTTTACATACAGGGATTTTGCTGCTGTGTGCTCAGTATGCTTTGATAGGATGTGTATTTTACCTCTTCTTTCAAAATCAAGTGTTGGAATATTTGTAGCGAGACTTAGGGGCCAGATAAAAAAAGCTTCTTTTCTAAGATATTCAGCATATTTTATCTGTTTTTCTAGCATACTGGTACACCTCAGTCGTGGGGGAGCTGAGGTTCAGATGTATGCTCCAGATGTTCCTCAGATGCATGTCATTGACCACACTAAAGGGCAGCCAGCTGAAACTGAGTCAAGGTAAGGTCTGTGTTCAGTGTATTTTCCCTGACTGCTGAATCTCAGCCTCTCTGGCTTTCTTCAGACACAGCAGACTACTGCTCTTGTAGTACTTTTAAAAAAGTACTCTTTAAAAAGAGTATTCTTTTAAAGAGTACTCGTGTAGTATTTTTTTACTGACTGGCTTTAGTAGCTTTATACTAGCTTGTATTTTGGCCGTAGAGAAAATACTAAATGGATGTTTTGGACTTGATTATATTCGGTCTCTTAGTGCCTGTGTTTCCCAGGAGTAGTATTTCAGAAGCATTGATAACTTCAGTTACTGAGTATCACTGTTCTTTTTTCTTCCCTTCCCCCCCCTTCCATTGCCAAAACAAACTTTATGCTCTTCTGTGCACAAATGCTTAATTTGTCTCATTGTTTTCTTTCTGTTTCTTCAAGGAATGTTTTAGTGGAATCTGCCAGGATTGCTCGTGGTAAAATTGCAAGCCTGGCTAAGCTCACTACAGCAGACCATGATGCTGTGATATTCCCTGGTGGATTTGGAGCTGCTAAAAACTTGTAAGTGCCAACTAAACATTAGACTCCTCAACTAAATATTTATAATCAACTTTGATTCACACAGTAAAAACGGGAAATGAATAAATGGTCTTATTTACTACATATGTAACCATTACTTAATAAGTAAAACTGCTCTCAAAGGGTTGGAGTTAGGCTGTGCTGTTGATGGTTTCCAGCTGTAATTCGTATTGGCATCCTGTGCGTGATGCCAATTAATGTCCTGATCCGATGATGGGGAGGTTTCGATACGATCCCAAGAGGCGAGATTAAGACACAAGCGAGGTCAAATGCCGTATACCCAATACCGTTTTTATTACAAAATGAGAAAAATGTTAGAAAAGAGTAGCGATAGGACAGAGTGAAAATAAAAGGCAGAAATGAAGCAAGCGGTCGGTAGAGAGTCGCCAGAGCAGTTACCAGCACGGGCCCACAGTGCACCGTTGGGCTGGAGCCGTCTCAGCTTCGGGGGTGGGCGGTGGAGCAGCAGCAAGGCGGCGAGCAGGCCGGAGATCCATGAGCAAGCGCAGGAGAAGGAAAAAGCTCTCTTGGGCAGGTCAAGAAAAAGGGACAGAAAGAGGCCGAGGCAGTGTCCATGCCGGCTTAAATAGCGTCTGGGCTGGGTACTGACATTACTCCTCCAGGTTGACACAGGCTTCTTTAGGTGAAGTGTGCCTGCAGGGCTTCAGGCCGAGGGGCTGCCGGGCCTGGCCCAGGCCCAAGGTCTGTCCCATGTGCACGCCCACGCTGCACCTCCCCGGCCGGGGGAGGGGGTGGGCAGGCCGGCGATGTGCCCGGGGGCTCCTCTGGAACAGCCCGTGACTCACACACACGTGCTCGGCTCCTCTCAGCGTGGTTCATGCCCAGACACGTTCTGCCCAGCTCACACAGCTCTTCCACACGTGCAGTCCTCCATCCAAGGCTGTCTTTGAGACAAACGTTCATGGCTCGATCCTTCACATTGGTACTTCACAGTCACACTTCGCCAAATGATGTTGGTGAGAATTTGGGAGTTGAGATAACACACAAGAACTGCTTTTTTTTCCCCCCTACACTTGTGGTGATTCTTTTTGGGCCTGGCTGAGGGAAGTGAAGCTGAAACTTCAATAGTTTCACATTTTCCTAGTGTTGTTACTCTTTCTTGATGTCTGCCTACCAAAAAGTCCCTCTTACATTAGTAACAGCTAGGTTAAAAATAAAAAGAGGAGTGAGGAAAGTTAGCCATGAGGAATACTGGTGGTCTTGTTATTGACATGCCATTTTGTTGGCTTTGAGAAACCTGAATGTTATTTCCCTTTTCTTAGGTATTTTTCTTCTTTTTGGTGTTCCACTTCTCAGTAATCCTAGAAAGCTGATTTGATAATTCTTCTAGATATTATATCAAGTCAGGAACTTTCTGACATAGCAAATCCTTAGAAGTGAGTCATTTTTGGCTCAGGTGTTGATGGTCAACTACAGGCTTCTTCAGCCACCCTTTAGAAGCTGTTAATTCTGTGGATGACCCTTGAGAGCCAGTCTCAGGGCAGACAGGCATCTCTATTCAGAGGTTTATACTGAGGTACATATAAAGTTTCTTGTTGTGGCAGATCTACCTTTGCTGTTGATGGGAAAGATTGCAAAGTGAACAGAGAAGTTGAGCGTGTCTTGAAAGATTTCCACAAAGCAGGGAAACCTATTGGGTACGTATGTTGGTTGGAGGGGTGTTTGTTTGGTAGTGTGAGCATGGAGACTGTTTTGCTGAAATGTGCAGCTGTCAGTGTTGGAACTAGAAAAAGCATCTTCCGTTTTGTGTCAGTTTTTTGTATGTGTTTTTCAAGATGCATGTATGTGTAGGTGTTTGTCAAAGAAGAAGCTGCTAAGAAAATGCTGAGTGGAAGTTGCCTTGTGATGTCTTTCACATTTGTAAGACCATGTCAATTTGAGTCTTTTCAATTATGAGCAAGTTTTGAATGAGTGCTGTTGTAGGATCACTGTCATAATTCCTTTTGTTGCAGTCTTTGCTGCATTTCACCAGTGCTGGCAGCAAAGGTTCTCTCTGGTGCTGAAGTAACTGTGGGCCATGAAGAAGAGGAAGGTGGCAAGTGGCCTTACGCTGGGACTGCGGGAGCCATTAAAGAACTGGGAGGAAAGCACTGTGTCAAAGAAGTAACTATATCCTTTCCTGTTAGTTTCCATGTTGAGAGACAGGTTGGAAATGTGTTGTCGCAGTAATGAATGCCTGCGGGATCTGTGCTTTTCCATTCAGGGTTTTGTGGGAATATCCACTGTGTAGAGAGCGTGTAGTCCTGCACAGGATTAGAAACATTGTCTTCTGTACACAGCTGTCTAGTTACAAGTCCTTCTCAGCTGTAGAAGCCGTAGAACTTCCTTGGTCGCCCAGTAATGCAGCAAATGATGAGTGAATTTGCTCATAAAACTGGCATGAGTTAGAATTGGACAGTTTGATTTGTGATTTTTTTTTTCTTTTCCTGAAGGCTAGTGCCATAACCAAACTGTGCTCAGACATTTTATTGCAGTCCATAAATTTTGTACGTTTTCTTGTGTTTCTGAGAGTTCCTACAGATTGCTCTTGCAGTGTTTGTATTTCTAGTGAAAATAGCTTCTAGTATCTTGGATTATTATAGGTTGCAGCTGTTTTTACAGATGGAGAATATAATATATTTGGAGGTGCTTTCTTATAGGATAGTGGAGTTGTGAGGATTTTGTCAAGGATGGTTTATCCTGCAGACAGCATCTGCAGGTGAGACATAGGCTGTGTTTTCCTTAACTCCCTTTCACGAAGCTCATGTGGATACAAAAAACAAGGTGGTGACTACCCCAGCGTTCATGTGTGAAACAGAACTACACCACATCTTCGATGGCATTGGGGCCATGGTAAAGAATGTGCTAAAATTAATTGGCAAATAATAATAAAAAAGAATCTAAAACAAACCCAGAAATGTTTAAATTTAGGGAATAGTATCAAATATAATATGGACCAATGGAAACATTTTCACCTACTTGTCCAGTTCACACTCTACTGAATGCTGATATGAAGCTGATGGATTCCCAGCCGCAGGGTTTTCCTTGGCCTTTCTGAGAGAGGAGCCCACAGGAGGGCTTACGGAGTGCTCACAGTCTGGCCTGAGACACAGGGCTTTTTCTTGAGCTTCTTCATCTGGAGAGAGCTGTGAATACATAAGCTGAAACCAGTCCTCCTGATGCTCCAGTGTCACATCATTTCTGTGGGGCCAAAAAGAGGCTAAAGGCCCTTTCAGAAGCCAGGGACAGATGTGTTACTGTAGGGATCTAGCAGATGTAGTAGCAAGTCTGTCTAGTGGACAAAGAATGGGAGTAGAGAGGAATTAGGGTTCAAGGTTTATATGCTCAGGTCTGTATGTGTGAAGTAAAAGCCAGGATCACTTGTCAAGGGAATGGACATCTTCCACATCTTTGTTAGCTTGGTATTAATTAAAAGATGAGTGCTTTGTTTTTCTGTTTCAAAGAGTCCTGTTTTCACAAAGGAGCCATTCTGACTATTGGGCAGCTGCAGGCTACATCTCAACTGTCACAACAGTAGCACTTTGAAAAATTAATCCATTGGCCCATTATAGGGAAAAAGGTCTTGAAATGGAGGGGAAAATATCCGCTGATGTGACGCACAATTGTTAAGGATACAATCCATGTTGAAGTGGTTGCCTGACTAGCAGTGGATGGAAAAAACAATCTCAAATTATCCTGTCTTTCCCTGTTTTAGGGTAATAAAGCTTTTTCCAAATAAATATTATTGAATGTCTGAAATAATGATGTATAAATAAATTAATTTCTGCCTTTATCTCATCCTTGTCCCTTCACTTTTGTTTGACAGCTATCTCTGATAACTTACACTGGTTGGTACATTCTGGCAGTTTTTCTGCATTTCAGTTCTCTTCACACCTGAGACATTTTTTCCACGTAGAATCCAGCAGAGTCTCCTTCCCCCCTTCCAAATTATTTGTCAGCTTTCTATTGAGCAGGAAGCAATAAAACAAACAAAATTACACCCCTTAACTTATATTAAAGTTACTTTTACATGACAGACATGCTGAAAGGAACTTGTATTTTAAAGGGAAAACTGTTTCATAAATGAAATCTGCAAGCCTTTGGTTGGGTTGGAGTATGGTAAATGCTTTCTGTGGCTGAAGACTTGTTAGGGATGTGGAATTAAATGTGTTTTCTTTTTTACTGGAGTGAAACGAAGAGGAATGAAGCTTGAATATGAGTGGTGGCATGCTCATCTTGTTCAGTGTTCAGGGAATAAATGTTTTGCTTCTAGAACCCCTTAGGAGGTGATTTATTTTTTTGTCACTAAAATTCACATTAGGTTATAGAAAAGAATTTTTCTTCAGAGATTACACTGTTTTTTTGAAGGATTTCACAGACATCTCTTGTTCAGATCACAAACTCCAGCATAGGTACAAAGCCAGAAACTAAGTCATGGTAGCAGACATGGTTAATAAAGTGGATTTTGAACGTGTTCTGAAAGTGTGCTTGCTTGTGCATCAGATTCTTCAGGAACTTTTCAGTATCAATCAAGTACTCAAATAATGAAGACTACTAATCACCTACTGTGTATCTTTCTAAGCAGATGCAGCAGTGGTCATGTGGATCCCTGACCTGGTGGTTTGTAGGATGGATTGTCTTTGTAGCACGTGCTTAGAATGAAGTATGCAAATGGAAAAGCTCACCTAATTTGATATGACATCTCATCTGCTAAATAACACCAACACTCTGTCAGGATAGTATCGGTGACTGACTGAGGGCCTGGGCTGTGAGTTGTAATCAGAGTAACTAAGGAACCAGCTCCTCCATGGAGCCTGAAACGTTTTTCAGGGTGGTTACAAAAAGTGAGCATACAGTGTAGTAACTGCTGGAAGTTTGGACATTTGGTGGGGACAGGACAAACATATGCACTGGGGAAGTCAAAGACAAAATATTATTTTCAGAAATACTCACTTTTTAGAGCATCATTTTACCCTTGTTTTTTTCCACCGATGACAGAGAAATGTTTTTTAAGGGAGGAAGAATCGTGCACCAGAATTGCCTTTCATTTTTTTTTTATTCTCCCAAATTTCACAGTAATGTGCTGAGTACAGACCTTTGCTACACAGATTTTTAAATGTTTTTTTATTAATAGAAGATCTTTTAACCTTGGTGGAAGATGTAATATTGTCATTCTTGGCATTCATCCCGTGTAAATTTGGAGTGAAATCCCATGTGCATTTAGAGATTAATAAAGACTTTTATCCACCAAGATGGGTTTTCCCTTCCATAGGGCTGTTTGAAGCTGCTGAGGAGTTTGCTAGTTTCAGCCAAGTGGACCCAAGTTTAGGCTTGATACGTTTTGTTAAATGCTCTCAGAGCTAAGTGAAAGAATGTGTATTCTTTCAAGCCTCCACAAGGAGGCGTGCAGTGTCTGGCTTATGGCTCCTGCGGTTTCTCATCTTCAGCAAGCACTGAAGAACTTTGTCCTACTGAAAGGGAGGGGTAATAAATGCTCCTCCTGCAACGTGTCGTTTTGCTAGTGATGTGACTGAGTTAACTGGTGGGGTGTGGGGAAGAGCTGCTACCTCAGCTGTATTTCTGCTTGCCCTGTTTTGCCCTCGTTGATGCTTAAACAAAAAAAACACTTTACAAAATATTTCTCTGTGGATCGCTGCAGTGTTCACAAATTTGACATTGTTGCTTCTTTCTTCTAAAGCAGAAAGGAGGATTAGGGATTGAGATGCACTTTTTGTTTTTACTCCAGTCTGTGGCTAAGTGGAGACACTTTGTGGGAGACTCAGGTGTCAACAGGGGGCACTTTGTGAACAATGTTCTGTGCAGGTTTTCACTTACCCAGCTACATTATTCTGGCTGTTGTTTTCTATATGACATTTTTGCGTTGACATTTTGACAACAGATGGAATCAAACAAATAACTGCTTCCTACTTGTTTAACAAAAATAAATAGGAAATCCAGTTTCATCACAATGAATACATTTGTCCCAGTGTCAAGACTCACTTCTACACACAGTGACTTAAATATTTATCTCCCTGAAAATATAATATCAAATGTATTTACATTAAGGTCTAAAGACTTCCTGTATTATAGTTATCACTGAAAAACGAGGAAAAGTCTAGTATAAAGTCATAAAAGTACACAGTGGGTTTTTTTGTTATTTTTGTTTGTTTGGTTTGTTTTTTTATGATGGTGGGTTTTTTGGGTTTTGTTTTTGCTTCTTTGTTTGGTTTGGTTTTAATAATGCTGTTACAACCAAGGTAAGCTAAACCCATGGTTTTTAGGAAGGAGCTTTTATCAGGCCAAGTAGTACTCCTGGAAGTTAACACAGTTTCTTGAAGGGTCTCAGTGTTTGCAAGCTAGCAGTATCTTGTACGTATATGTATTCCTACAAATACAAAATATTCTTTTACTTTTTCAGAGTAGATGAGCTAATTCTCCCTCTGCAAATAACTGAGAGCTTCCTGCATCCCAGGGCTTGAGTCTTTTGTTTGAGTTGTTTTTCTTCCTCCTTCCTGTGGCTTCCAGTTGCTGAGGGGAAGCTTGCTGGTCTTATGGGTCAGCCGTAGCCCTCACAAGAATTAAGGAACTGGTATTTGGTTATCATTTCTAAGGTGACGTCAGTGGTAGTGGTCAGAATCTCTGAAAAGAAAGGAGATAGAGAGGGGAAGAGAAGAGACTGAACTCGGACAGATCCGAAAGTTGAAACAGAAGTTGTAACAAGGATTGCATTATCCATAGTTACATAATTTCATGCTGCATATTTAAAGTTAATCACTTTCCATGCTTATTTTCAGTATTTTTCAGTACCATTTGTTCAACTGCTGAGTACCATGCTACGTGAATGACTGCCCTCAGGCTTAGCTGAGGTAACGGTGAAAATTCTGCATCAAATGTTTTACATTCATTTCTTCCTGATGAACGGTATGGGCCATTTCTCCCACAGCATATGGAACTAAAAGTTGCAGTTAAACTGCTCTCACTGTAAACTTAGATAAACTATAAGATGAGCAAACTAACTCCTTTTTGTCTCTTATCAGTGTCATTGTCAAATATGAAAAAATGAACTTGCTTTGACAGCCATTCTTTTGCAAGAGTAATGTATGAAGATCTCAGAATTTCTTTAATGCAGCAGATTATCAGATTATGTTATGAATATATATATGAAATACATAGGTGTGGGCCACCAAGGCGCTATGGGTGAGAGAAGTGCAGATTCCTCCTTCTTAAATGTGTGAACTGTTACTATGCTCCTTAGTTTTCAAAGGAAAACCTTTGAAACCCTCTTGTTCGCGATGAAACTCTGGAAAACGCAAGTTTATGCCACTTATGTTCTGTACACTGGGTGAGCTTTAAGACTAACACTTTCTGTGTCATTACCGAGGCTAGGAAGAACAAATAAAGGTCTCCTAGTCGTTCAAACCTTCACTTGCAGTCTCCCAGGAAAACAGAATGGCTGTCATCTATTACTCCTGGGAATGGCATTAACTACTGGGAAAATATAATAAACAGGGATGTTTAAACATCCCAAGTGCTGCTGCAAATCTGAGTCATAAAAAAGTAGGATTGTAAGCAATGTTTAGAGGTCATCCAGTCTTCTTCCCCCAACTCCTCATTCCTCCTACCTTCATATGCTCAGGTGCTTACTGTGATTCCTGCTGGTTTTGCCGGTGAGGTTGAAGGAGGCAGATGACTGAGGAAATTGGGCATTGGCCAGCAATGTACCTTTGTGGCTAAGAAGGCCAGTGGTATCCTAGGGTGCATGGAGTGTGGCCAGCAGGTCAAAGGGGTTCTTCTCCCCCTCTGACTAACTCTGCCCTAGTGAGGCCACATCTGGACTACCATGTCCAGTTCTGGGCTCCCCAGTTCAAAAGAGATGGGGAACTACTGGAGAGAGTCCAACACAGGACTACAAAGATGTTGAGGGGACTGGAGCATTTCTCCTATGAGGAAAGACCCAGACACCTGGATGTATTCAACCTGGAGAAGACAAGACTGCAAGGGGATCTTATCAATAAAGGGTGGCTGTCCAGAG